AGAACAGGGGTCTTTGTTCTAGTTTACCTGTACAACGTTTGTGGCAAATCCATGCATGCAAGTAATACACATTTATTGTGGGAAAATTAGAAAGTTCAGACATGTCAAAGGAAAACCTAAACGAACATCACCTACAATTCTGCCACTTACAAAGGACTCTACTTCATTCAACCTCAGAGGCTAGAAAAATTGGGACATGAGAGTATTGTCCTACCTAATGTCTCTCCCCTTGTCATATAAACAGAAACCCTAAAGTCCACTTGGCCTGACTTTTGGTCCAGAACATGTTGTAAAATCAGACAGTGCAGGAGCAAAAAAAAAATCTTTGGGTTTTTGACGACAATTACTGCTCTATCATAGTTTTATTTTTATATTCATAAGACATTTTGATATTTCATGATATAAACTAAAGTTAAGAAGTCTAAACAATTACTTTTTTAAATAAGCAAATAAGCAAAAAAGTTCAGTATAGGCAGTTGATCCCATTGTTACTGAAATCAGTGACCAACACATTAAGAAAGACCTCTAGGGTCTCCCCGGTGGCGCAGTGGTTGAGCGCTGGGTTGCAAAGCTGCCCGCAGCCTCTGCAGCGCTGGTTCGATCCCCCGCTGCCAGGCACGGGTCCCACATGATGTGCAGACCAAAGACCTCTAATTACAGTCATTGGCAGTACATTTCAGAGAACCATCATATCACAGGCAGGATAGCAGAGTTCTTAATAAGTCAGAATTTCAATATATCTGGGCTTAAATCTTGGCTTCACCATTTATTTCATGACCTTGGTCTAGTCACTCAAACTTTGTGGGACTCAATTTACTTATTTGTAAAATGGGGATAATGATATTGACTCTTTAGGAAGACTTTATGGAAAAGTTAAAAAGATTCAATCATTAAAATCTTAAAACTTTTATTTCAAGCCTTAATTTCTTTTATATTTTAAAGATCTTGCTTTCCATGAAAGGAAATAACATTCTTGCCCCATCAGACAATGACATAGCTTTAAAAACATTGACACAGAGATTCTGGTTGAGAAGTTTGGGGGAAGGGGCGGCAAGTGTCCTATGTGGCTTCAGGGGTGGTAAGAAGCCGCTGAAGCTGCCCAAGATTGAATAGCAAGATAAGGCTTGATAGAGCAGGAACAGAGGAGCAAAAGAAACTGGAGGAGATAAACGTGAAGGTGGTGGAGGGTTAGGGGGAGGAAGGTCTCCTGGCCACAGGTGGAATTAAGAAATCTGGCAAAAGGTAAACTGTTCCTTGTGCCTGAGGCAATAGTGATTCTTAATTCCATTCCTGTTTAAGCATCTGGAGCCTCTGCCATATGCCACCAATAGCTAGAATGAAGTTAGACTGTTGTGTATTTAAGAAATTTTGTACCAAAAAAAAAAATCATACACTGATTTACTCTTTACTTTTTTTTCACCCAGCTTTTTTTTTTTTTTTTTAAGTTGTAAGGTCAGAGTAAACCCAGTCCAGAATCTTGCCAAAGTGTGCTTGTCTCCAGTCTTTGTTATGTCCTGAATTCCCTGGAATTAAACTGTTAGGGGGAAAAGGATGTCCCCCTCTCCCTGTCCTAAAACAAAACCAATTCATTTGAAATGGCCAAATAAAAAAGCACACCGCTATATTTACTAATAATTAAGATATTATAGACTATATAAAAAGTTGTAGGTATGAATAACTTAGCATCCTAACAAGCCCAACCACAACTGCATTTTTCCAGACCTCTGTTGGGTATTCAATGCTATTCAGAATTCTTTAATTCATTCTTAATCAGTAACTTTGCTTATTTCCCAAACTTACCTACCTCCCTTTCCCGCTCAGCAAGTGAGAAGACCATTAAGAATAAGTTTCTTACTTACTCTTTCTTAAAAGTCTTCATCTGGAAGCTTTCCAGAGGGCAAATAAATTCAGTGAACTATTTGATACCTGTGCCAAACACAAAATTGTTACCATCCCCCTATCCTCATAACCAGCAGCCCTTCTCTAGCAGCTACTCTGTTAAGTTTTGCTCTTCTCCAGTCCCTGGGATGTGTGAGGCAATAATCGACAATAACAAGCAGTGGCCTAACTGCAGACCAAAGGGTAGTCACAGGTCACCACTGTGTTTTATCCAGTTAATCTGCAACAGGATAATTGAGAGATAACTGCAATTACAGAGGAAAAAATCTGAAATGTACATGCTCAAATCACTGGGATAACTTCAATATCAAACAAGGAATTAAATAAATTATGAAACAGACATGGAATACTCCGTAGTCAGTAAAAATAATTTTGTAGAAAAATATTTATTGAAATAGAAAAATCTTTACAATGAGACGTAGCAGGCTATAAAACAGTATGGATATCATTTTTGTGTCAAAAAATACATGCATGGAAAACCTACTAGGAAATATATGAAAATGTTAACTGTCATTTGGGGGCTGTGGAATGAATTTTTCTTCTGCAACTTTTGGTGTTTTTTCCTAAAATTCTGAATTTAAGCTTGTTTCAATTTTTTTTTTTAAAGATTTATCTATTTATGCATACAAGAGCTGGGGTACAGGCCAGAGGTGCGGGAGGGTGAGCAGATTCACCAGAGACAGAGCAGGGAAACAGAACAGGCAGTCTGACGAAATATACTGCCAAAGGGAGCAGCAGGCGAGACAGGAGAGGTCTGCTGCACCATGTGGGTTTCTCCTCGGCCGGCTGGGATGGAACCCACACTGCAGAGGCTGCGGACAGCTTTACAGTGCGGACAGCTTTACAGTGCAGCGCTCAACTGCCTGTGCCACCAGGGAGGCCCTTGTTTACATTTTGTAAATAGAAAAATACACAATGGGTACTGATTGAATGAGAGAATGGGGAAGGTGCCAGAATCCTAGAAAATATCTATACTTAAGGGGTTTAAATGAGGAAATCAATTATCTTAGACTTGGACTTTTTAAGAACTTTCCTTCTGCTAGTTTCTTGCTATATCTATTTTAGTTTCCTAGCTACCTGTTAGTAGTTAATATCAGTTAATACTTAGCCATAAGCATACAGGTTAATATAAAAAGACACAAAACTAATATTTCTTATAGTCCTAGCAGTCCCATGAACAAATGCAACTGTACACCTAACATAATCTTTGAAGTCTTAAATACATTCTTTAGTTTAATACAGTGTGGGTAAGAATCTTCCCGGGTAATGAGGTACTTCTGGAAATTTTATTAATCCTTTCAGGCTAAAGGAGTACCATTTGTAAAAGTTTCTATAGAAACATTTCTATAGTATTGAAAGGATCCATTCCATTCTACCCTAGAGGGTTTCAGAGTAACCCAAGGAATGACTGAGTTAATCCATCTCACAATTTTGGCCACTGCTCTAAAAACAGGATTAATTAATATAAAATATCTCATATAGTGGTATTAACTCACATTTCACACTGACATGCACTATTACCATAGCCATAGTGAAACAGTGTGCCATAGAAGTTAAAAAAAAAACAACAAAACACAAAATACCAACCTGTATTCATATGCATTAAATGCATTCACATAAAAAAATAAATAATACACAGACAAACCATTTGTCAAGGAATCATATATAATAGGCAACAGGGAATTATGCAAGCTAGAAAAACTTAAATGTTCTTCTCAAGTAAATTTAGCAAATAATAGTAAAAGCAAGGGCTGAAGGTTTAAGATATATTGTGAAGGAATTTTGTAGATTTTAACAACTCCTCTTTGGGAGTACAGCTTATTTGTATAAATACTCTGAGAAGCACCTGCTTTGAAACAGACTTCCTACCTGGCCAAATTAATAAAGCTAGCAGCTGTATAAGTAGCAAGATTACTTTTCAAGGTTTGACTACAAGGATTTTAAAACTGAAGTTAAGTGACTGTGTAAACAGACTTATGTTTCATTCACTGCAGCATTTTAAGCATCCAGATTGGTGCTTCCACATGATAGACACTCATTATTTTTATGACGAATGAATCAAAGAGACCATTCCAGGTGTACATTAGGAGTTAACCTACATTCACTTCATATACCACTACTTAATAATCTTCCACCAACTGGAGAAGGAGTTACTGAATAACATACTATGAAGATAACAGTAATATACATATACATAATATATATTATATAATATATAATATATAATGGATGGATATATAATGGATGGATCCTGAAGCCTCATTTCTATTTTAAACCCACCGACTCTTTCACTTTTTAAGAAAAGATCTGTGTCTTTTTGGACAGTTGAATAAATTCCTCAGAACTTGACCTGTTCAATTCACATGACAATATATATTATATTATATATATATTTACTTTTGAGTAAATATATATAAATATATATATTTAAATATATATATTTACTTTTGAGTAAAATGAGTGATAAGAAATTGATTTTTATTCTTAAGGAATCCAGACCCCTATAATTTTTGAACTTGCTAGTCTTTTACTAAAGAGAGCAAATAATAGTATGATACATTTCATATATTTCCATCTTCTTAAAATTCTTCTAAATACAGTAAGAACAACCTGCTAATGCACAGGTGCTGCTTCCTTCAGACACTGGGGCATCCTGAAGGAATTTGTGCCGGCATCTGCCTGGTAGTACTAACAGATGGAAGACATTTATCATGTGTTTGGTGTTCTCACCTTGTCCATTCAGCTTCAAATACAACTGCATTGAGCTAGATGAATCAGCATCTGCTCTTCCAAGAGCCAGTGCATCACTCCCAAAGCGAAAAGGGAAAAGTTCACACTTCAGAGGCCTGGATCAATGCCAAAAGTATCCATATTGCCTCAAGGTTTCAGACTCCCTGATGATCTTTAGCTCCCTGGATACCAAGTCAAAGACAGATCTGAAAGCTGCAGAAAAACAGGTGGGTTGTCATACACAAGACTGTAGCCCTGGGCAATATAAATGGTATTTGTTCACATCATGGATTAACTGCTTTGAAAGGCCAAAAAAACAGAGACAGCTATATTCAACATTTGAGGTTTTCTTAATAATAAAGCACTAAAAATGTGGATAAGTCATACTTTTTATTTTTTTAGATGCAAAAATGACAAGTGGCCACTTGCCTTTGGAAAAGACGTTAAAGACTATCAGGGTAATAACCTATCTGTCTCACAGAGACAGTAGACTAAGAAAGACTCTATTATCAAACAGCTCTCCAAGAAAGTCATGTTAAATAAATCTCAAATAATACACTTTTAACTAAAACACAAAAAATATCAACACAACAAAAAATTATACAGAATCCACAAGTGGTATGTGAAGAAGGATAAAGGAAAATCTGGAATTCCACATACTGAGAGTTCTCTATTTAACTCAAAGATGTCCAAATCCTAAAACAGAAAAAAGAATTACATTAAAACAAAGTATTTTTTAAAAGTCCAATGAGGTTATTATAGATGCACAGTTTAATGCTTAATTTACATAAGACTTTTTTCTTTAAACTCTTGGAGTATTTCTAAATATACTTAGAGAGATCACATACATGATAATGCAGAGATCAGTCTTCTCAATGGGTCCTTCAAGTTTTAAATTTCAAATCTCAGTCTGGAATCCCAATTAAATGTTTATATAATAGGCTACAGTGAATGGGATTGCTTTTTAAATTGCATCTGCTTAATTTTTACACATTATGGTTTTAAAACAACCTATGTGCTTTTGAAAAAGACAATTTATAGTATGAAAATAAGGTTATGTGAAACTTATTCCCTTCTCATAGAATAGGAGTAACAATTTCCAAAACGATGGCATTTAATACAAAATGACAGAGCTGGTGGGTGTGGGGTGGGAGAAGAGATGAAGAACAAGCAGTGGAATGCACAGAATACCTAGATTTTAGATTCAGTTTTGCATAAATTAGCTGTGTGTGTTTAATTTCCACTTCTTTAGGTCTGAATTTATTCCCTGGTAAGAAAAGGCAAATGGATCTTGAAGCCTCATTTCAATTTTAAACCCATAGACTCTTCCATTTTTTTAAGAAAAGATCTGAGTCTTTTTGGACAGTTGAATAAATTCCTCAGAACTTGACCTGTTCAATTCACATGACAGTAAATATAAAGTACATCCAATAATTTTATTATGAGAAAAAAATAACCTACTTTATAGGCAAAATTATACTTCATATCCTACTTGTGAAGTAGAACACAGAAAACAGAAATATAAACATTTATTCTCTTCCTAGCCTATAGAAGCACTCTCTGAGACAGTCAATTGAAAATCTTAGCACTTTCACTGTGGCCAAAACAGCTAGCCAATCTTGCTCTCAGCCTCCTTTCTCTGAATGCTCCTAGATAGTTCAAAGTGAACTATCACCTAAAAGTACCATATATCCTACCTTCTATAAAGAGCTTCTGTATTTCACAGGTTTATAATAAGGAATTGTTTTCCTGCTAGTCTACCAAAATACTGAAAAGTCCAGCATTACTGGATAATTATTTACTAGAATAGACTAATGTACAGTTATGAAAATAAAACCTGCAGTACTAGAATCCTAGGGAGCCAGGGAGTAGATTCAGGAATTCTGATATCTTCGGGTGTATCACCTATTTAAAGTTATGGCCAATTAATCATTTTCATGGGGAAGGTCAAACTTTAGATTAGAAAAAGTAGTCATTTTAATTCAAGGTTGAGGTTTCATCAACTGTCAGGTTTAGGGAAGGAGACAAGAAGAAACAGGTTTAAGAATCAGAGAGATCCTAGGAGAGGGGACAGCAGACAAACTATTCTGTACTGAGCTATCTAGACAGCACACGTTTTTAAAATACTATGAAATATCTTCTTGTGATGTTATTTTTTCTGTTTGTTCTGATGTTTTTTCTTTGTCCTTTAGTCACGTTCACTGCAAAGAATGAGTGTAAAGTGAGAATTGCAGGAGCAATGAGCATACATAAAAATGCTTTACAAAAGATTAGACTACAAGGTTTACAACACTAGATGATCTTTCAAATTCCCTGTGGTCCAAAAATTCTCACAACCTTCCACAGATAATATACTATAATTAAGATTAGCTATTCATATTACTTACTGTTTCTTTTAAAAATATTTATGGATATAACTGTGTTTTTCTAAAGGTCTCATTAGTAATACTGAGTCTTGTAAGTCTGGTTCCATAATAATCTATAATATAATTACTTCCATCTGAAGGTCCAACAATCTAGAAGAGAAAAACATTCAAAATTACTCATCATATTTATAATGGTCCGTTTTTGCTTTGTTGTGTTTTGTACTGTTATTATTTTTTACACTGATGTCTTATTTGGTTCCCGTATATTCCTGTTATAAGTGAAACCATCCAATTATAAATCAGAGACATCCTGCAGGGGAGGAGGCGGGAGAGGAATAAGAGGGAGGGAGAGACGAGCACAGAGGACTGAGGTGATGGTGCACGGGTGCATTGGTGAAGGAAACTATGGAGACTACACCTGAGGGGGTGGGGAAGCAAATATTGTTTAAAAATGAGCAATGATGTAAAAAATAAAAAAAAAAAATACAAAAAATAATTTCCCAAGGAAAATAAAAAAAAATTACTCATCTTACAAAAGCTATTTTCACAGTCCTTTGAGTTTACCTTTCTAAATTGTTACTAAAATTATTTAAATAGCAACAAAAATGTAACTCAAACTAAGCCAAGCAAAGAAAGTAATTTAGTAGAAAGTAATTTAGTAGCTTATGTAGGTGAAGAGGATGGAAAGAGTTACAGGAGCCAAGGCCTCAAAGGCTAAATTTTGTGCTGATAAGATCTTTCATCTGGCCTTCCTCCCTCTGCAGGGATGTACTCTCAATTAGTTACCAATAGCTCGAGAGTCTCATCTTTCAAGCTCCATTGCCAATAGAAAGAAAGTAAAATTTCCTTCGTTGGTATTTATATATCATTTCCAGAGAAAGACACTGATTGACCTACCTGGGTTTTAATGCCTATCGCTCGACAAATTACTGCATCCAAGAGAACAGGATTAATATGATTGGCCAGGCCAAGCTCCCTATGGGAGATGAGGTATGTGACTGACACAGAGTGGAAAAGGAAGATAGGGGAAAAAAACTAAAACTAGGTAAGTTTATTACAATCACCTTGTCCACTTAATCACATTTGTGACAATCAATAGAATCTCTACAAATTGTCCTTTAAGGTAGCAATCTTCAAACTATAGCCTTAAAGGGTACACAGATTTACCAAGGTGTATGTGGTCCAAGAGAGTTTTAAGGGAATCGATTCTAAGATCTTTAATTCCCAAAAATGCTCTTTGTAAAACTGAGCTGCCGGATACACCTGAGGGGGTGTATCTGGCATACCATGCTATGCCGGGGCATCCTGCTAGTAGTTCCTTGTTCCACTTCCCTTTCACTGTGACCTTTCTCTAACTTGAACAGTGAAGAATAGTCCCAGCAAAGCACAACTCAAGTCTTATGATGGCACATTGCCTTGCAGTGTAAAAACTTCTGATGTGCTACACAAAAGGATAAATCTGAGACTTAGGGAAATCTCTTTTAATAAAAAGTACAAAAACACATGCTCTGCTACATCTCATTCAAAAGATGCTCTTCTAATATTTTTTTTTTATTTAGAAATAATTCGAAACTTGTTTATGCTATTTTGATGGATTACATGTCATAATGAGTATGATGACAACATGGAAATCATACAAAATTTAAAATTTTAATAATATGATGAATGGAACACTTTTAATATAAAAGTATATTATGTTTTAGGATTAAATTCTATCAAAGAAGAATAGAAATAAAAATTCAAAGAGAAAAAGAAACAATGTAAAATTATAATGGTTAATGAAGGGTTCATTCATGTCTTTTTAAAGTAAATGACATTTAAAATGCTATGGTATTTCTATTCTGTTAGATATGTTTTAAAATTGATATAACAGTTTCATTTAAATATGCCAATATTTGCAAACTAGAAAATATATCCTATGCAACTATTTGAACTTTATGATAGAAAACTAAAATGTCAACTTGAAACGTGAAGAGGGTAGGAAGTTTGTAAAACACTGTTTTTGGGGTTCTATCACCAAAGTCTGAAGAACACCATTGTAGAGCATCATGACTAGAAGTCATGTTTTGCGACTGGATGATGAATCAACAAAGGAAAAGTGAAGCCCAGACAGAAGTATATGAATTCATATGGCAAAAACAAAAACAAAAACAAAAAAACTCCAAATCTGAAATATGTACAAAAATTGAAACTGAACCTTTTTTCTATTATCTTTTTCTTTCCACATTATGCCATCTTCCCGACAATTTCATTTACTCTTGTTGAGAAAAAGTACTCAGAAGGTGAAAAGAAGGTATATATATGATTGGATGACCTTTTAATACCATACATTTTCTATTAAGTCAACCCAAGGCTTGCTTGACTTTCTCAGGAAATTGAACTATTCAACTAAAAACTGGTTAGCACACAGATGCTTTCAAATCTTATCAAGTCAGCAGTTAACCTAAAGGAAATTAAGTTATTTTGATTTTGTTTCTCCTGTCAGGTAGAAAAGACAGTTTCAAAAATCAGTATTATTTCTTGGTTATACATGATCCAATTTTGTATCTAATTTTGCAATCTTACTAGAACATTTCCTTCTCCTCAAACTATGTAATTCTGGTCCTACAGCAACTAGTTCTATCACAGCAACTTCAATCCTCTTTCCAGAGATCAATTCCATCTGGACATGTAATGAAATTCTGGGCAGTCACTAACAGAGACAAATTCAGCGGGGAGCTTATCTGCCCTTAACAAGGTGTATGTATGAGAGGAAACAGGTATTTTTCTGCCTCTGAGTATAATTATATAATGATATGATGCTAACCAAAGGGAACGTAAGTTGGCAAAGAGAAGGAAGGGAAGAAAAGAAGGGAGGAGAGGAAGGAGAAGGGAAAGTAGGAAGAAGGAAGGATGAATTTTGATCCTTCATTATGTCCTGTAGTGCCAAATTAACAAAACCTGGAACCACCCTATCTTCAGATAGTTGTTATATGATAGAATAAACTACCATATTTAAAACTAACTTAAGTTGAGCTTTCTGTTAGTTGTCCAATTTAAAGATTAGTTAGTATTAATCCTAAATGGCCAACATAAACACCATTGCTTAAGAAATGGTTGGAGTCACCATTTTATCTCCTGAGGAAAACACAGTTATGAGGTTAGTTTCAGAACCAGTGTAAGCTATTCTGACAGAGCATATGTTAAATACACTATTGGTATCCTCAGTTTTCCTGTTTATTTCCCCAACCAATCACATAAATGTTAAATAAAGAATACAGAACAACTTAGTAACTACGAAATGTCCACTAGTTTTTATATGTCATTGTTCTGCATCTAATGAACTACCATTAACTCTCACTCACTTTCTAGTATTGGTAAGACTTAGGGTAACTATATGTTTTGACCTTCTTTTGATCAACAGCATATATTTCCCAGGGCAAGGGTATAGGCTATGTCTTTAACAAACAAACACACTCAGAGACAACTGATAACCTGAACCTTATTTATCCAAAGAATTTAAACAAGGTAAAATCAAAGCCATACTTTTCACTGACATTCAGTTCAAATCAGCAAAAGTTTATGGTTAGCATCCGCATAGTGTTATAGCAGGGGAGTAAGAAAGAATTTTTTCTTAAGAAATTTATGTATGAAAAGTCAAACTTGGTGTGTAGAAGTTAAAAAAAAGGCTAGAATATACAACAGTATATGACCCAGAGATAAGTAACATTTTAAATGTCAAATTAATGAGATCTTATAAACCAGATAAATTTACTTATAAAACTCATATGTTGGAAATTTTTTGTTGGTTTCTGTGAATTTCTGCTGCTTATGTAGTTATTAACATTTTAAGGAAATCTATTTTGTATGTTAATGGGAATTAAAATGAAAGTAATTTCTTCCATGTTGTCTAGAATTTTATAAACTGTCAACAAAGAACCCTGAATCAGCTTCCTTCTAATAACTTTCTACTTTCTAACTCATTTCAATTTCTCCCCTACCTATCCTCATCTTTCTGATCTGTGGCTGCCTTGTCTCCACTTAACAGAATAAACTTTCTTTTCTTTGCATTGGCGCATACACATTAGTGGTTTTGGTATAATTAAAAATGTACAGTGATAAGAGAGGTTTAAGTGTAATAAAATATTCTCATAATTTTTCCAGTAAAAAAAGTTAAGTTGGGCCTCCCTGGTGGTAAAAGGGGTTAAGACACAACCTATGAAGCTATCCATAGCCACTGCAACACGAGTTCGATCCCTGGCCAGGGAGATACCTACATGGCACAGCAGACTTCTCCTAACTTGCCCGCTGCTCCCCTCAGCAGTGAATTTCAATTAATCTGCCTGTTCTGTTCCCCACTCTGTCTCTGGTGAATCCCCTCACCCCCCCCCCACCTCTGGCCTGTACCTCAGTTCTTGTATGCATAAATAAATAAATCTTTAAAAAAAAAAGTTAAGCTGTCTAATCCATCCTTCATGATGTATATGAAAATATGTAATACAAAAGAATGAACATTATAAAATCTTCAGAACTATCTTATGAATACCTGCATACAGTAATTACATACAATAGTTACCTCTAATTGAAAGACTACATGCTATACATACAATGCTGATTTAGATTTTTGTTGAATACACTAAAGAACTGAATTAATGCCATGTATTGCTTCATAATATTTACCACTCATATTACTTGCATCTCTTTAAGAAAAGAAACTTCAAATCTTTATTAACAAATACATAAACTCACGAAACTATGAAGTTATTTTTTTCTTATTAAACTTCAGTAAAATTTACTTACTTTATCAATATATGTATTAGACTTTATAGTTGTTTTAGTTCAAAGATGAAATAACTAGACTTTTTCATAAAGAGGATTTTCCTGGATTTTTGTTATTAGCACTGTGAAGCAAAGTATGTTTTTACAGGTCTTGAGTTCATGCATAATATGTTTCTGGGATTAAAGCCCAATAGAAAAACACTGCTATTCACTGGGGAGTAATATTTAATGGGAATAGAAAAAAATCAGAGATAGGAAGAATGAGGATATAAAGAATAAAAAAATGGTATGAGAAATTGGAAAAATATACTTGGGACAAAAATATTAACAAAGTTTATATACTTATAGTACAAATTTACTTGATTTGCTAAAAAAAAAAAACATTCTCCCCTAAAACTATGTTGCCAACATTATATATTAAGGATGTTAAACAATGTATAAAATAAGTCTACACATCTTATTTCACTACTTCTGAAAACTTGAAAGCAGTCTAAAGTGGCCATATCTATTAAAATGCTTCATTTAGGGAAATTTACTGCATAAATTCAAACCTCCCAATTCTAACTCCATAATTTCTTTTTTTTTTTTTAAATTAATTTATTTATATAAGCACTGGGTACAGTTAGAGGCGCAGGAGGGTGAGAGAATTCACCAGAGCCAGAGCAGGGAGCAGAGCAGGCAGAAGGACCGAAGTACACTGCTGAGGGGAGCAGCGGGCGGCAGGAGAGGTCTGCGCGCCATGTGGGACCCTCCTCCGGTGGCCGGCGGCAGGCAGGGATTGAACCGGTGCTGCAGAGGCTGCGGGCAGCTTCGCAACCCAGCGCTCAACCACTGTGCCAGCAGGGAGGCCCAACTCCATAATTTCTTAATTTGATAGTCTCAATTTCAGATCTCTAAGAAAAGAACATTATGTTCTGAAAAATTGAGACATACATGAACCAGGAAGCAGTGGCTGAATCAAATCAGTTCTATAATTTTATATAATCAAAGCTACAAAGCAATTATATCACCAAAGAATGAACCAATGTGAAAATACTAACAAGATGGTTGGGTGTCAAAGACACTGAATTATTAAAGAAACATATTAAAGAAACCCAGTAGTACATTAAATTCCTTGGATCTTTATTTAAAGTGAGAAACCCATTTCCAAGCATATGTGCACAAGTACCTTAGCCTCTTCATGCCTGCATGCCTGCCCCACAGTCAGAGAAGGCATGATATTTGGTTAGGCATATGTTTATGAATAAAGACAGAAAAATTCCAACTTTAAAAGCAAATATTTTCCTTGCTTAATTCTGGTATCTTATTGGTCCATATGCTGCCTCCTCCTCACAGTATGGCACCCTCCTCACAGTATGGTACCAAAATCTCCTAGATTATGACTTTCTTTTAAAGTTTAAGGATAACATCAAGCAGACAGAATCAAGGAGTAGAAATACTGTAAGAGAAAGAAGAGCAAAACTGATGATCTAAATACATACTGACATACTTGCTGAAGACAGTAGATGCTCCATAAATGCTTACTGAAATGCTGTCTTATGATATTTATTGTGATAAATTAATCTTTTTCTCTAGGAATCCTCACAAGCTAATCACAGTTCAGTATAACTTAATGGAAAACATCTGGTTGCACTTTTAAATGCTCAAGGATAGTATTTTACAAATTATGCCTGCTTTCACACCCACGTCAGCAGGAGAAAATGAAGCTAACACACAGAAACAGAGATAAATTATTAGGAGAATCCTGAACATCATCTGATTGTACGCATTTGGTCCTGCTTGAGGCCTCCCCACTCCTAAATTTTCTATAGAGTGCCAGACATTCCATTTTTCTTTTTGGCTTGAGCTAGATTTCAGTTTCTATAACTTGGAATCAAGAGACTACTACTAGTATTCTACTACAGCACCAGTTCAGTGCAAAAAAAATCTTTGTTTCATATATATATAAATATTTCATATATATAATATATATATTTTTATATATTTTTTCATATATAAATATCAGATTTCTATAATGTCTTGTAATAGTAACTGATAATGTGGCTGTGACTATCAGGATTGATTGAGAACCTCAATCCCTGGTAATGATTCACAGTACATATTATAGATTCTGAAGTTATCCAATAAATAAATATCTTTAACTCAGTTAACTTATATTTACAAATTATATTTAAGGATGGAATCTTTTTTTATATTATCTTCTGTCTTTTAGAACTACTAATCCACAGAGCACAGGTTGTGAATGTTACCAGAAAACAAGCTATAATCTCTTAGATCTGACAGCTAAAGAAAAAAATGAAAAATATACTAGGAGAAGATCACAAAACTCAAATTTGAATGTAAAAGTAGTTTACCTCCTAGACTGAAAGGAACTTACCTGCATTGAAATAAGAATGAAGTCAATTAGGCTCCCAATTCCACAAAACCCTACAGTGCAAAACTTTAACAAACCTAGAAAAGAAGGTAAAATCATTTACAACCTGGAAAGTCATAAATATTAAATTTTTCCATTTCTCAACCATTATATATGACAAATTCTTTATATCAAGAATATATAATTAATACTTTAACAATCAAATCTTCACTTTAAAATGTGAAGTTTAAAGGATGTTCTATATCTTTAAAAGCTGCCAAAAATTTATTAATTCATTTAGCAAATAAACATAAGGAATAACATAAAAACTCAGTACAAATAGGAACTCAGTATCGTCTTACACGATTTCTTAAAAGAAAAGCCCTAAGGAAATAAATCTTTAAATCTCAGTATACCAGAGTTATAGAATATCTTTTAGTCTTAAAATCCTTATTTATTCAGGTCTAATACATTATGTGATCCAAATTTTAAAATACATTAAGAATAGAAAGTTTAAATAAATATTGTCAAACCATAGAAAAATAATCAAGAACAAACAGTGATCTTAAGGTTTAAATTGCAAAATTATCAACAAACAACTATGAACCAGAGACACTCTATGGTGGGTGGGAGGGCGGAGAAAGGAGGGCTTGGGGTCAAAATAAGGGGGTTGTGATTGTATGGGGAATATAAAAAATAAAATTTAAATAAAAAAAAAGATGGGAGGCAAACTATCATTTAATATTCAAAGAAAAAAAAATTGCAAAATTGATTAGTGACCCAGTTACCCTGAATATATCTTATAGTATTTTCTATGTGTCTCATGTCTATTAGCTCTCTAGACAAAAAATCAAGTTTCTGAACTACATATACCTCAGTCTTTGGTTCCAACATTAGAGCTAAGGTACTCTAACATAAATGATGATAGAGCAAAGAATTTAGAACATATATAACAATATAACACAAAAATATGATGAAATTAGAAGCAACAGATTGGGGGTGGAGGTGGGATGAGTAATTTGTTCTATATTTAAACCTGAGTTGCTTTCCAGACATCCCATTTGAGATATAAAAATGATATGAAGCAAGGCTCTTCGTGAAAGGGTAGTTTTAAGTATCAACTACAAATAGATGCCAGCTAAAATCATAAGAGTGGATGAGATCACCTCCTGCACACAATTTGCAAATACATAAAAAAGATTGATATATGCAGTTACATTAGATGATTTTTTAAAAAATCTTTCTTAGGATTAGAGATGTAATAGAATGATGTTGTAAATACTAGGATAACATGTTTGTAATAATTTTAAAATTATTTCAATATACAGTACATAAAATTTTCAGTTTTTTTTCCCCCAAATCACTAATTACCTATATCTTATATTTGTTTACTATCTCTCTCATGGATGCCCTATCAGGGAAGGGTCATTTATCTTTCTGTTTACTTCCAGGTTCTTAGACATAACAAGAGTGCCTGGTACATTTTAGATGCTCGGTAGTTTGTTCAATGAATGGATAGATTTTCTCAGCTTTTCTGTTTCCTAAAGATCCCTATCTTTTCATACATTATCTAACATAATAACTTCCTTCATTATTTTTTCATTAGTTGCATATTATTATTGTTGCTTAAGAAACTTTATCTGTTCACTCATATTTCTAAATGAGATGCACCTCTCTTCTCATAGAATTTTAGTGTAAATTTAGAAAATTAGTTTTCTTTCCTCAATTTGTGTATAAAAAGAATATTAAGAATGGTCCCCAAAAAGTTTATCTTTACCTGCTACTCTAAGAAGAAAAAATAAATATGTCAGAGCCTTTGTTTTTGATATGCCCTTTTCTCCTTGTAACTTCTTCGGAGTTTTCCTAACCTGCCTGTCTAAAACAGTCAGTCACTACACACCACAACCCAAGCATCTATTGCATCTTCCTTAATTCCTACATAGTGCTGATCAGAAATCTGTAACAGCCTCATTCATTCTTTGGCTCATTCATTCTCTGTTTTCCTGAAATAGAACTTCAGGTTCTATTATAACTAACTTTAATTTTTTAAGGGTAAGGACAGGTCAATTCCTTAAACAGTACCTGACAGACAGTAAGAGCTTGATAAATATTTGTTTATGACTACCGAAAATCTAGAAACAATCTAAACATCTAACAGGGTGGAATAGTCCTCAAAATTAAGTTACATCTAACAGTAGAAAACTATGCAGACAACAATGATTAAAAATGGTTCACAAATATTGTTTAAAAGTGAACAATGATGTAAAAAAATAAAAAATTAAAAAATGATTAGAACAGCATTTAAGCAATGATGTAAAATACATTTATTGGCAACTTATTGGTAATGTGCTAACACTCAAACAGAGAACAATTATGAGTTCATTAAAATCTAGGTACTCTGCTGCTGAACCCCTTCTTAAGGGGTTAAGAAAAATGATAATGAGTGCTTCCTGTTCAGATAAAATATTAGATAAGGGGAATGACATATGCGTTTGGAACTTTGGGTAAATGCTATATATTCTTGGGGTAGGACACATTTAAAGAAATACTATAGAACAGATCTAAGATATTTAGGCATTTAAGGAATTTATAAATATGGTGACAGACAACACATTTCCCTGTTTAATACTGAAGATATAACATTCAACACTTAATTACTTAAAAAGAGCAGGTTTCACATCTGCCTGATTTACATTATTTATTCTGTTTATAATCAGTATTAAGGAAGTATTTTTAAAAGCTATAAATATTAAGGGGGTTGCAATTGTATGGGGATTATAAAAATAAAATTAAAAAAAAAAAGTGAAAAAAAAATGCTTTTCATAACCAAGAAGACTGAAAAAGATTATAAGAAAAACAGAACTTTAGTTCTATTATAACTATTTTCATATCAATTGACTGACTTAAGAATTTTTTATTTTATTTTATTTATTTTTTTAAAGATTTATTTATTTATTTATACAAGCACTGGGTACAGTCAGAAGCACGGGCGGGTGAGAATTCACCAGAGCCAGAGCAGGGAACAGAACAGGCAGACTGACAAAATACACTGCTGAGGGGAGCAGCGGGTGCTGCAGGGGAAGTCTGCGAGCCATGTGGGACCCTCGCCAGCAGCCAGGGATCGAACCGGCACTGCAGAGGCTATGGGCAGCTTCGCAGCCCAGCGCTCAACCACTGCACCACCAGGGAAGGCCCCTTAAGAATTTTTTAAATGGGAGTAATCATTTCAATTGAAAAATACCAAAAATTCCTTAACCTTGGATTCTTAGTGAAACCTCACAACATTTAAATTTAGGAAATTTACAAGCATTATAATTTTACATTTTAAGACAAGATTAGTTGATGATCAGATTTACTGAAATATACTGATAAGGGGGGCAGCAGGTGAGACAAAAGAGGTCTGCTTCTCTGTATGTGGGTTTGCTCCCTGGCCAGGGATTGAACTCAGGTCATCACAGTGATAGCGCTGAGACTTAACCCCTAGGCTACAAGGGAGGCCCCCCAATTTTTTTAATATTAGAAATCTTTCTAAAAAGTATATATGGTCCCATCCTCTTAAAGAGAACATAAAGAAAATGTGAGGTTTAAGGTAGAAGGCTTCAGATGTATTCTAAACATCACCATGTCATTTTGCTTTCTTATTATGAATCTAGTTGCCCCATCTATGTCTGTCCATCCATTCATCCATCCATCCATCCACCCACCATATAAAAAGAACGTTAAATGAAATGATCAGCTCAGAGTTCTTCTGTTCATTACATGATTTTCCTTTGTGTATGGAAAGGTAGGTTACTCTAACAAAAGGTGTGAAACTTCAGTTGCACTATCACTCAAGCCAAGACTACTGCATCATGAGCTTTCAGCCCCTGCCACCAGTCTTTCTCCATTTTAAGCCATTTCCCACAATTCTCAAATTTCATGTTCCTGAAATATAAATCTAACCATGATACTCCTCTGCTTACAAACATTTATGGTCAAAGGGTAAAGTTCAGACTCCACAGCAAGACACTCCAAGCCTCACCTCAAGCCACCTCTGCAGTCATGTCATCTTCTGCCACCATCTTGTCTACACCATTGGCTAAATATTTTGCCATTCTCTTAACACACATGCTCTTTCATGTCCTGTGTTTTTGCACATGCTGTTCCCTGTAATGCCCTACATCTCTGTAATTTGTTCACTCTTCAAAACCTAGTGCAAATGTTACTCAACTAAGAGGTATTCTCTCACACCTCAAAGCTAACAAAATTAGTTCATTTTCTGTGTTCTCAGCATTGTTATGGTTTTGTAATAGTGCTATATTATAAACTGTTCTACCAACATATTTATTTTCTTTTATCCAACATGTGATCATCATTATTGCCATTAATTACTTATCAGGTAGTAATCATTGAACAGATGTCTCCTAATGGAATAAATTTATATGTTCATACATATATATGTACATATGTATATATATATAACTTATTTTAAACTTTGACTTCTATTTATGACCTTTTAAGACTGAGTTCCAGATAAGACTGTCAGAAACATGCTTTCCACCAATCCCACAGTGAAGATTCCACTTTGATTTCTGGAGGTAGCAATAAGGAAAGAATAAGATTAGCTTTGCTAGTGGGAAAGCAAAGCATTCAAAAACTTTAAATTTGCTCAGTAAAAGGCTAATATAGAACCAGAATACCACGGAAAATAAAACATGAACTCTTGAGCCAAAAAGTCTGGGTTCAGATTTGGGTCACTAGCTGAGTGTCCTTGGGTAAATCTCTTAATCTCGTGACAATTTCCCTATCCATAAAATAAGGATGACAACAATAAAGTAAGGCTTGGAGAGTCAGTAAATCCCTTATCCTCTCTGGGGATAATTCCCCTACTAGTTAAGAAGATTTAAAGAGGACGAGAAACTCAGAGAGCTATAGGACTTAAATAAGGGCAGACAAGTCAAAGTATTGTTCAAACAAAAGCTATCATCAAATGTAAACAATTTTTAGTAATGATGATAAATTTACCATCATTATTAGTCAGGAGGAAGGTATAGGAAGTTTGCTAAAGGTAATGTTAGGCTCCATACCAGATTATGCTGGTTGCCATAGTTCAAACCCGTTTCTCCTAAAAAAGCAGTTTCTACTCCCAAAGCAACAATGACAGAGGTTGAAGTAGGAGGAAAATATTTTTTGAAGGGATAGGCATTTTTGAAATAAAATATTCATGGAAAAGCCACTGTGTGCCCAGAACTAGCAACAACAGCTCAAATCTATTGTCTGAATTAAGGGCCTACACTATTTTGAGCAGGTTTTTTTTCATGAAGACAAAAATACAGGAAGTCAGTATTACTTACGTTAGCTTTATACTCACTGAGGAACAGTAACTATTCAACTACAGTTACAGAACTTGAAAATATTAATAGTATGCAGAGGCTAAATCTGTAAGAATACAAATATTTAAGGAAAAGTTTCACAAGGTTTTTTTTAATAGACTTTTTTTAAAAAAGATTTATTTATTTATTTATACAAGTATTGGGTACAGTCAGAAGCGCAGGAGGGTAAGAGAATTCATCAGAGCCAGAGCGGGGAGCAGAACAGGCAGACTGATGAAGTACACTGCTGAAGGGAGCAGTGGGCGCTGCAGGAGAGGTCTGCGTGCCATGTGGGACCCTTGCCAGCGGCCAGGGATAGAACCGGTGCTGCAGAGGCTGCGGGCAGCTTCACAGCCCAGTGCTCAACCGCTGCACCACTGGGGAGGCCCCCCCCTTTTTTTTCAATGAAACATACTTACCCAAGGCAGGGTATCCCAGGTAAAATCGATCTGCTCCCAACCATCCAAGAAAAAGAGAGAGTGCAACTGCTACTTTGTATGAATAGCCATTTCTGCACAAAATTAGAACCTGAGTGTCACGCATATATTTCTAACAGGTAAACAACTTTAGAAAACAAAACAAGTAATTACTATTTCTTAATTGATTCATTCACCTATTCAATCACTACTTTTTGGGTGCCACTGCATGCCAGGCACTATTCTAGGCTACTGGGATGAATGAACAAAGATCCCTGTCCCTACTTACAATCTAGAGGCAGCAAACAATAAACATAAACATATTTTAAAAGTAAATCATATATTAGAAAATCATTATATGAAAAAAAAAAATGTACAGGGTGTATAGGAAATCCAGTATGCTAGGGCTCCAAGAAGGGCTATACAAATGGGATGGTATGTGTAGGCCTCATGAAAAGGTGGTATTTGAACAAAGAACTGAGCATGGTAGTGAGTTAGCAATGCCACATCTCTGCGAGATGAGTGTCTAAGGCAAAAGAAATTGCTGTAGCAAGGCAACATACCTGACACGTTTAAGGTCTATTAAGAAATTCACTGTAGAGTGGAGTGAAAATGGGAAGTATAGACGATATCAGAAACTTAACAAGGACAAGGAGAGTTGATCATGCAGGTCCTTGGATATCACTGAAAAGAGTCTGCTTTTTTTCTGAGAGGGTAACTTACTGCAGGGTTTTAGGTAGGGGTGTGATATGATCTCATTTAGATTTTTAAATAATCACTCTAGCTGTTGTGCTAAAAATAGACTATAGGGTAGTATTTGTGAGCCACTGTCAGAATAATGTTGTATATACAAACCACCCTAAAACTCAGAGGTTTACAACAATTAGCACTTATTCTCATACTTGAAAATTGTGACTGGCTGTGGTTCAGATGCTGAGATGCTTCTTCAGGTTGAAATTGGCTAAGCTTAGGTTGCAGATTCTGATCCACTCAGTTTCACTTAAGTATTTCTACATTCCAGGCTGAAGATACAGCAGCTACTGGGTTAAGTTCTTTTCAGGACATACCAGCAAAGTACAATGGGAAAGTTAAGCCCCACAAGCACATTTAAGTCTTTGCTTAACCTCACACCTGCTAAATTATATAGGCCAAATCAAATCAAACCCAGAATCATTGAAGTGGGAAGTATACACTGCCCACTTGACAGGGACTGAGAGGGATACACTTGCTGAACAAATTCAAACCACCACAGGGCAAGCAGTGTGAAGACTATTCTAGTCATCCAGGTGAGAAATAGAAGTGGTATGACCTGGAATAATAACAAAAGAAACAGTGAGAAGTGATCAGACTCTGGATATACTCTGAAGTCAACCAACTGGATATTTCTGTTATATTAGATTTAGGATATGAATAAAAGAAAGAAGTAATGATAATGCCAAACAATTCTCCTAAGTAACTAGAGGGATGAAGGTAGCATTAACTGCGTTGGGGAAGGCTGAGGATGGATTAAGCCTTGGAAAGATGACCTGTATTTCAGCATTGGATATGTGAGTTTGAGATGTCTGTGAGATATTCAGGTAAAGTTGTCCAAAAAACATCTAAGTATGGGTTTTGGGAGAGAAGTCTGGGATGAACATAAAATTAGAGAGTTACAAGGACATAGGAAGTATTAAAGCCTTGAGACTGCTATGTGAGTATAGTGAGAAAAAATTCACAGACTAAACCCTGAAATACTCTAGCATTAAAATATCTTGTTGAAGGAAAAAATGAGAAAGGAGACAGAGAAGGTATTAATAAGAGTGTGGTATCCTGGAAGATAAGTAAAGACAGTGTGTTAAGAACATAGAGATCAACAGTGCAAATTATTTTGAATGTTTAGGCAGAAATACCAATCTATAAATTTGAAAATGGACTAAACTATATCTAAGTACTTTGGAAATAATTCATTTTAACACTTTTTACCTTACTAATAGGAGATCTTGTAACTCCAAAAGTTTAAGTGACTGGCTTAGGATTACACCGCCAGATGGACTCTAATGCCCTTTATTAATTCAGTTTAGTAGGGCCAAAAGAGAGACACTAAGAGAAATTTCTAAGAATGCTAGTAACTTACAGAAACAGTTGAATAGTAGTTATTTCTTGATAAAATTGCAAATAGGTGTTATCAAATAAAATGCAACAACATATAGTTAAAAGGTAAAAATACAACGCCAGCAATTAATAAAAATGGGTAAAACTAAATCATGTTTTTTTACAAAAAGCAGAGCAAAGAATAGTAATATTAGCTCTACTACAGCAAAAATTAAAAGCAAACTCAGTAAGTGCTATAAACAGAACATTCCCAACAAAATAGTCATTTGTCTTAATATCCCTTCATCATTCATATCTATTTCAAAGAGTAAAACCAAGTTTCAAAATGCTCTTAGTGTACAATTAATCATTAACATCTTTTCAAATATTCAGGCACACAATCTTTTATTTGCATTCTAGAACTCTCCCAAGTTTTGAAAACCAATTTTTTTCATTACTTATTTGGTAGCATAAATGGACTGAATTGACATAGCATGAGGCAATTTATAGTTGTCACCCCAAACAGTGAACCACTAAGCTTTTATATGTTGTTAAATTGTATTTATAAAGTAATATGAGCACTTAAGAGACTTTTGTGACAAGCAAAAAGATGAAAGTTATATTAGTGCATGATCTTTCCCACAAATAAACTTTTTTTGTTGTTGTTTAAATTGTCTCTTAATACCTCCAACAAAGATTTTTTTTTTTTAATAGAGGCATGTTTTATTTATTTATTTATTTGTTTGTTTGTTTTTTTTGTTTATACATGCACTGGGTACAATCAGAAGCGTGGGAGGGTGAGAGAATTCACGGGAGCCAGAGCGGGGAGCAGAGCAGGCAGAGGGACCGAAATACACTGCTGAGGGGAGCAGCGGGTGGCAGGAGAGGTCTGCGCGCCATGTGGGACCCTCCTTGGGTGGCTGGGGAGCAGCCGGGGATGGAACCAGCGCCGCAGAGGTCGCGGGCAGCTTCGCAACCCAACGCTCAACCGCTGCGCCACCGGGAAGGCCCTCCCACAAATAAACTTTGTATCTCTTCATGCCATGTAATCAAGATAAAACATAGGCAAGAAACACAAAATCTAGCTTCAATAAATGTACTCACACATTTCGGCAGGATATGGGCTTGAGAAAACCAACTTCATTTCCAGTAAAATGTATTTCATTACCACCATAATCCTTGCAAGTTATGTTGGGTGCTGGAAAACACAGAACTGAAGGGAGAGAAGGGCAAGATACAATCATATTTTTCTGTAGGAAACCATGTAATTTTTTTTGAGACTAGAAAAGCATGTAAGAAACCATATTCCAAAATAATATCTGACATGAGATCTAGATAGGAAAAGCTACTATATATATATGCATCATGTAAAAAAATTTTTTCTTTTTAATTTTTGTGTAGAACTGGGGTATAGGCCAGAACAGGCAGATTTAATGAAATACACTGTTAAGGGGAAAAGCAGGCAAGACAGGGGAGGTCTGCTGTGCCATATGTGGGTAAGCAGCCTGGCCGGAGATCAAACTCAAGCCATAGAAGTGATAGCACTGAGACTTAACCCCAACGCCACCAGGAGGCCCATACTATATATATCTTGTATATCTTATATATGCAAGGTAAAGATGACATGATATAGTAGTCTCAACATAAAATATAACATGAATTTAAATTGCCACATTAGAAAAAGGAACTCTGCTACACTGCTGGTGGGAATGCAAACTGGTCCAACCACCATGGAAAGCTGTATGGAGATTCCTCAAACTACTGAAAATGGAGATACCATATGACTTAGGAATTCCACTCCTAGGAATCTACCCAAAGGACACAAAAACATTAATTCAAAAGGATGCCTGCACCCATATGTTTATTGCAGCACAAGTTTTAATAAGTGATAAATGAAAACCAACCAAATGTCCAAAAATAGATGACTGGATCAAGAAGATATGGTATATATACACAATGGAATACTATTCAGCAATCAAAAAAGATAAATTCATGTGATTCACAGCAACTTGGATAGAGCTGAAAGGGATGTGACATAAGTCAGAAGGAAAAAGGAAAATATCAGATGTTTCACTTATAGGAGGAATACTGAAGAACCAAATAAGGGATCAAGAAAAAAAATAACAAGAAACCCCAAAATTATCAGGCAACTATAAATCAGTGACATTCTAAAGGGATGGAGAAAGAGAGGGATCAAAACACGGGAGGATACAAGGGACTATGGTGATGGTGCACTGGTGAATTGGTGATGGGAATTTTACGGGTACTATACCTGAAAGGAGAAAGCAAATATTGTATAAAAATGAACAATGATGTAAAACATAAAAATAATTTCAAAAATCCTGAAATGAAAAAAAAAAATGGCCACATTGGGTTAGATGACTCATGACTCATCTAGTTGAATCTCTTGCCTCTGACAAAGGTGACAGGTCAGGCTTACACAATATTAAAGCCCTTCACTTCATCTCTAGGTAAAGAATACGTCTCTAATTTTTGTTGGAAAGTCATTGGGTAATTTATTAAATTTTACATGGCCTTATTTTGTATTTTCAGCTTATATCAATTTGTAATAATGGTTGCCCAAAACTAAGTTTCTATTATTTGTTCTAAATATATGTTTCTAGGATTTGATGCAGTATATTAATTCAGAACATAGTAAATTTTGATATTTTGATTTGGATACCGTAAGATAGTAGTAAGACGAAGTAACTCTTGTAGAATTTCCTATGGGCCAGTAAGTACTATCCTGATACCTTTATCATTTCATAGTGTCAAGAACATGAACTTTGGAATGAGAATGATCGTGGGTGTATTGCCTCTTTCAGAATCTTGGAATCTTTGTACAGTACTGAAATTACCTACATTTTAGGACAATGGGGATTAAATATGATATAAAGTGCCTACAACAAGGAACAGCATATAGTAGTCAGTCAATAAATGTTAGTGCTTTTTCCTCCTTCACCATTTTAGAGTAAAAGGGTAGTTCTAACAAATGTTTATCTGTGTTTTGCTTCAATAACTAGATTTTTTTTTAAACATATACATAGAACTCGGTATAATAATCTAAGTAAAAAGCAGAGACCTCAGAGTTTTGTTGAGAGAAATGGTATTTATTTTCTGTCTTTATACTTAAGATTTCCAGCAAATCATTGTCCTTTTTTAGGCCAGAGTAGTACAGGCTTTTTAAACTTTTCTGAATTGATAGTTCAATCTACATTACCCGTAGTATGTTTTTTTATTCAAATATGTAGAACTAAGTTCTTGCACTAAAAGTCGCATATCCAATACAACTGAGAACCATTTAAGCAAGAAAAATAGTAATAAAATTAAAGGAAGGAAAGTGAAGAAATAATTATCTAGGAAATACAAAGGGAAGATACTAATTGAGTCACAAATTTAGCTCAGAACTTCCTTGTGATTAAGGCAAAAAGCTTTACAGAGCCATTATGATATAATCGGAAAAAAACATAGCAATTCACCTCTTAAACTACTGCAGGAAATTTGGGTTTGTTCATGACACGAGGGAAACAGAACACAATAAAGCAGGTCCTCAGAATGAAATATTACAAAACAATAGATGCTGTTTACATAACTATTTCTTATACTGACTCCAGATAAAAGTAAGGAAATGACACTAAGATCTACTAAGAGAAGGGGCAAAAGTTAACAGATGTAGCTATGAAAATATTGATGCAAATCAAAATCATTACCACACTATTTTCATACTTAGGAGGTACCTAAGTATATTTTGTTAAGTATATAATATGGGCGACATATCCCCTACCTGCACCTTTTGTGAACTAATACATTACAAATTCTTTTTGAATAATTGAAAATCTAACTAAAGAACTATCTTCATATAATACAGGTTGGTAAATAAAGACATCAAGAAAGGTATATAAACTCGTCTTAAAGATTTGAAAAAATGAACGAAAATATAAACTTCCACATTTATATAACTATGAGAGTAAGATTCTTCTTTTTAAAATTAAATAGTAACAATTGCTAACAAGTTATCTAATTTTAAGTTGTTCTAGAAACTGAAAAACTTAAAAAAACATTGTTTTTTGTGATCATACATTAAGAAATAATTAATGTGTAAGAAATTATTTTAAAGAACATGTTTCTGGAAGTCTTACCATGAGCTGTGTAGTTTGTACAGTTAACTGGTTCTTGGGTAGCATCATTTATTTTTGGATCTTTACAAATATATGTAAGAAAAGTCAAGGAAATATGAACTACTTTCCAACATAAACATTATTGTCTTTAATAGCTCGTTTATGTATTCAAAGACAGGCTGCTATGTATCCAAATAAACAAGGACAAACATACTTTCATGGTACTAAGTAATATCTGAACATTAATTTATTACAGGGAAAGTGTATTAACTTAATTATATAGTGGAAATTCCAGGAGATGCCATCCTTAAAGAACACCAGACATTGACAAGCACAAACAATACATGACAATTTCAGTTAAAAAAAAAAAAATCAGTTTCCTATGGAGCCCCAAGTATTGCCACATGCATAATTCCATGAAACAAATAATCCTCTGACAGAGTTAGTTCAGAAAGTTTGTCCACTGTAGTTTTTGAGTCACTATTCAAAAAAAAAAAAAAAACCTCATTTTAATGGTAGAAGTAACATTTTCCCTCTATTATCACCTTAGAGTCCTATATGCTCAGCGACTTTTCTCAAGCACAGCTTTTCATAACGCTCAATTAATTTCTTCAAGAAAACTACCTAGGCGTTTTTGCAAAACCAAGACTCAACTTAATAGGTCTATCATTCTCAAATTCCAAGTATTCAGCCAATCAGAGTTTTTCTGTAATAATCTGATAATGGCTGCTTCTCCCCAGCTAAAATAAAAATAACTGTAGGACAGAATTTTCTTAATTTTAAGTATTTCTTTCGTAGAAGCTTTCATTATCTGTCTCCCATTATTAGATTTTTGGGGTGTGTTCCACCATTTGCATACAACTGCTATCTAATTTTGCACAAATCTGAATGTAATTACCACTTCTTCTCATTCTGTTAGGGGAAAAAGGATGTCCCAAAGCTAATTCCATATAGGCTTTGTGGACTCCACCCCCACCCCAGGTCAAAGTCAAAGACACTGGGAACTCCAAATCCCATCATCACCAAAGGGAAGGTGGCTGGGACCTGAGGGTGGGGTTAAGCAGCCAGGTGGATACAAAAGGCAGACACGTGGGCTTTGGGGATCCCCCGTTTTTGGGCTCTCCGCCAGCTCGCAGCGACCGGCCAGCTCTGAGAGTGACTTTGGGTTTCCAGGTCGTCCGATCGGGTAGGACGCACTAAAGACTTTATTTCCCTATTTTCTCCCTGAGTTGTACATTTTCCTTATTTCCTTTTCTCTTGTAAATAAACCTTTTATTAACCTTTTGTGTGTGTCTGTAGTAGAGTATTCATAAGTCCCTTTAAAGCGCGCGGGTGAGGACCCACAGCCAGGAACCCATTTAATATTGGGGCTGCTCTATAACAATTCCTCCCATTATCAAAGTTGTGTTAAATAAACAGATCCACTCAACCCCTTAGGCCTGCTTTCTCATCTGTAAACACATAGCTAACATATAGTTCCTACTATGTGCTAGGCAACATGTAAGTAATTTACCTATCTGAGTAATTTAAACATCTGAAAACTTTAAGTTGGTATCACTGCTATCTACATATTTCCTCAGAAAACAAAAGTTCCAATAAAGTGCCTGAAAGGTCCATGCAGGAAGCCAGAATGCAGGAGCCAACCAGGAAGCCCACCTGGGGGGCAGGAATGCGGATACCTGCCTGGAGGACAATGAGCCTCCCCGCTCCCCCTACGAGTCTCTTCTCAGACAAAAAACCTCTACCTGCCCCACAAACTTTTCCCCCCATAGGAGCCCAACTACCCACCTGACCTCTCCTCACCCTATAAAACCCTGCTTCCCCCTAACAACGTGCACGGCTTCACTGACCCCCACCTTGGGTGCGTGAGGTCCGCCTGGGGGGCGCAATAAACTTACCCTCCCTTTGAGAAATGTAGCCTGGCTCTCCTTTTCTTTACCGCGCCGAACCTTTCAGTGCCCAAGGTTACAAACTGCAGCAGGAATTTGCCCCATGGCACCTGGTATCTCTAGAAACTTGAGGATGACATTATGTAACACATGCACATCTAATGGTGAACGGAACACCCACACTGGCTATTTCGTTATTAAAGACTTATTTGTCTCTTCCCAAGTCAGCAAACTTCCAGGGTCGAGCCTAACAATTTTTTGCATCACTAGTGCCTTACGTAGGGGCTGGAACACTTCAGGATTTGTGGAACAAATAAGCCCACCAATTTAAGAGAAAAAAATGTGTACCGGAGAGGAAGCACAACGACCAGTAAAACCCAAGGAAACAACACAGGGTGGCCCTGATCTTCCGATCCCCCATGTCTCTTCACCTCCCAGGAACCCTCGGTCACAGAAGCCAAAGGTCACCGTTCCCTCCATCACTACCCCAGCCCGCGGAGAGGGCCGACCCACTAGCGCCTGCAAATCTACCTTGCCCCCCAGGGGGGGCTCCTCACAGAGGATATTGTCCCACTTTGAGGTCCTCGCATTTAAGCGTCTCCTCGCCCCCGATGGCGGCGGTAGCGGCAGCTCCCCACGGTCCCGTGGTGGCTGACACGAACCACAGGAGACCCATGAGCTGGGCGGCCACGACCTCCGGAACAACCGGCCCAAAGGGCCAGGCGGCCGCCATGCTGGGGACCCGCGTGTCCCCCAGTACTTCCGGCTCCGGTTTCGCCTAAGCGTGGGCGGGAGACAAGCGGAGGGAGCCGGCTCTTAAAGGGGCCGCGCGTTGCTGGAGGCCGGTTCCCCGGTTCGCGGGCCGCTGGAGTCGACTGGGAAAGCTTTGCTTCCTCTTCGCTAACCGGAAGAGAGAAGCCGCCCGCCTTCGCCTCGCTCGCGACCTAACGCCTCAGCGTGTCTCCCGTGTGGTAGCGCTCCGGCAGCTCGCGGCGCCTCGATAGACGCGTTACAAACAGTCTCCGTCAGTACTGGTAGGATTTGGGTTTACACTTTACGTCCGGCCCAAAGACGCCGGGAAGCACGTTGGTCTTGGTCACCTGGTGGCCGCGGCGGGGGAGCAGCGGGGGTTGCGCGGTTCCAGAATGTGCTTTTACTGATGACAAAATGTCTCCCCTGGTACCGGGAGAAGGAGGATGGCTCCCGCTGGAGCTGAAGGACGCGCGCGCAAAGCTAGGCCTTGATTTTTGACAGTGGGTGGTTCGAGGAGGGAAAGGCCTGCGCCGGGGCCTGCACCGCGGGAGCCGAGCTCCCGGCCACGCTGCTGGGGACGTGGAAGTTTCTGTCTCCCCGTCCCTCTGAGCTGGTTCTGAAAGTTGTGTAGTGAGGAGATTTTATCCTGAGCGGAATGTGTGCTTTCGCCAAGTGTGATCCGCTTGAGAGTTTTACTGCATTTAGTTTCTTACAGCGTTGTTCATTTTTGCACAGTATTTGATTTCTCCCCTCGGGTGCAGACACCCGTGAGCCATCCCCCACCCCAAACCCACCCTTTTTTTTTTGGTTACAAGTCTTAATTTTTAATTTTTAATTTTTCTCCTCTAACGTAACAATATTTTTAATTTGCTGCTGCTTCATCTAAACTGCCCAGACTTTGAAGAATTGCATTATGGAGTCCTTCTCAAACTTTAGGGAGCATCAGTCACGTGGAGGTTTTGCTAAAACGTGCAAGGGTGATTTCTGGTGGCGTGACGTGTAGAGCCGACACTGTAATTCTAACAAATTCCCTAGGATGATCTTATCCCTCCTCCAGGGTGCATACTCTGGGAACACTGGCATTGTGTTTGATGAGAAGTATTTTGGGATGGAGGAAGTGAAACGACGTGCAGTAATAATTAGTAAATTATTAATAATGTACTGATAATAATTACTAGAAATGTTGTACACTTTCAATTTTTTAAAGCAGTTTTTTATTTAAAATATTTGTGACTACTGGTTTAAGTATAGGAAATTTGAAAATTAGTTCAATTTTTAAATTTTTCTGTTTTAAATAGAGTTCTCTTTTTTCGTGTTTTCTTTTCTCCTACTTTCCCACCCTGCTTTTCTTCCTCGTTCTTTACTGTTGTTCTATTTATAAAAATACTTAATGCATATTTGTTATGTGCCCGGCATTAGGTGAGAGAGACCCTGGAGACTAAAACAATGAAGAAACAAGAGCCCACAATTAAGCAGTTAACGTTTGTTGTGGGAAAAGACAGTTTAAATATGACTTAATTGTTAACAGAAGTCCAAACTAGGTAAACACAAGTGTTTTGATTAAGATGTTTCCTACAAACAGTGCAGGGCAATGCAATATTTTTGTCACTAGCATTAGCGTAATTGAAAATCCAGGTCAACCTGCATCATCGTTGTTGTGTCTTCATAGGACACATGACCACCTAAAAATGTGCAGATTAGAAAATTAGCCATTAATTTTTACGTTTTTAAAAATACCAATAATGTCTGTAGTACACAGCTCAACACCATCCCTGAGTCTCTCTCTGAGATGAAATTTAAGAAAGGGGTAGAGATAAGATTCAGGTATTAGGACCAAACTACTCTTATAAATATTTGATAATAAGACAGTGACTTTGCAATTTGACTAGCACTGGCACACAGTGCTCTTGCTTGATTTTTGAAATACAGGGTAAAGAAAATCAGGTGAAGGGAAGCAACTTTCTAGCTTGAGTTTTTTGAAATTAAGACAATTTTTTTTTTGCTTACTGCAAGAATATTGCTGATTTTTATGTTTGTCATTTTCCATATAGGTTTTGAACAATTAATTGTTTGAAAATGGTTACGCTTTATTGATTGATCCATTACAAAAATGTTCTTATGCTTCTAATGGTATATCTTTATTTTCTCCAGCAATGTGTGAACTGAAAAGAACAAAAAAGTCTCCCAGTGACAGTAAAGAAAGCATAAATTTTTGACTCTTGAACTGATGATGTAAAGATTCACTTTATTGCCCTATAATCTCTTTTCTCGTGGTTTAGTAAAATATGTTACTTTACCAGCATAGTCTCTAAGCAGAAGATTCTGCATTGGCTAATTTTAGTAAAAGTGTTCTGAAATCTTACCACCTCACCACGTTTTCAAAGCCTAATATATTGTGAAAATTTTATAGAATTTTATAGACATTCTGTACAAAGTAAAGGATATGAGTAGCGCAGCCCAAGATGAAAACTGCTGTGTGGAAACATTAGGAAAGATTACCAGTGGAGCATGAATAGAAGCGTCCTCTGGGATACAAGAGCTCTCTCTATGCGTTGGGATCTTTTTATTGCCAAGATTCTGACATATACCTAATGAACGTTAACAGTTTTTGCCCATAGCACAACTTACTGGACAAACCAGCCTAACTCCTGTTCCCATGTAGAGAACAGAAATATTAAGAGATAAAAGATAGTTACTCTCCCAAAATTTCTTTTTCATTTGACTGCAGTGAGCATTCCTTTCCCCTGTGATAAATTCATGATGTCAAGGCTTTGGTAGATCTTTATTATACTTTCCTGCATATTTGAAATTCTTTATGCTGTTGTCTCAAGTATTTCTGATTGTATCTTCCCTGTGGTGCTTTTTAACTGACTACTATCCAACTAAATTAACTTTGACTCTTTTCTGTGCCTAGCCCAGCCATGGCTCGTGGTCCCAAGAAGCATCTGAAGCGAGTTGCAGCTCCAAAGCATTGGATGCTGGATAAGCTGACCGGGGTATTTGCTCCTCGACCATCCACTGGTCCCCACAAGCTGAGAGAATGTCTCCCTCTCATCATTTTCCTGAGGAACAGGCTCAAGTATGCTCTAACAGGAGATGAGGTGAAGAAGATATGCATGCAGCGGTTCATTAAGATTGATGGTAAGGTCCGCACTGATATAACCTACCCTGCTGGCTTTATGGATGTCATCAGCATTGACAAGACTGGAGAGAATTTCCGACTAATCTATGATACCAAGGGTCGCTTTGCTGTTCATCGCATTACACCCGAGGAAGCCAAGTACAAGTTGTGTAAAGTGAGAAAGATAATCGTGGGCACCAAAGGAATTCCTCATCTGGTCACCCATGATGCGCGTACCATCCGCTATCCTGATCCGCTCATCAAGGTGAATGACACCATTCAGATTGATTTGGAAACTGGCAAGATTACAGATTTCATCAAGTTCGACACTGGTAACCTGTGCATGGTAACCGGAGGTGCTAACCTGGGAAGAATTGGCGTGATCACCAATAGAGAGAGACACCCTGGTTCTTTTGATGTAGTCCATGTGAAAGATGCTAATGGTAACAGCTTTGCAACCCGTCTTTCCAACATTTTTGTTATTGGCAAAGGCAACAAGCCATGGATTTCTCTTCCCCGAGGAAAAGGTATCCGCCTCACCATTGCTGAAGAGAGAGATAAGAGATTGGCAGCCAAGCAGAGCAGTGGGTGAGATGCTTTCTAGGTGGCATAGTTGGATAGAAGGGTCTTGATGCTTAAATAAAGATAATACAACATGATTTTTAAAAAAAAAAATTAAATTTGACTCATCCCTTAAATAAGACCTTTGCTCTATGCCATGCATACTTCATCTTGATGTGAAAAGGGGCTCCAAAACTGACTATAGTCGTTCTGTTCTCAATTTAAAAATGGCTTCTTAGTTTCACTGTCACTATTCCTTTTATCAGATTCAAAACAAAAATCATCTTTGCTTTTCTGTTTCCTTGTTTTTTAATCCTTTAATCAGTAAACAGCTGATATCTTTAAGTGTTCATTTTTTTCAGGGTGAAAAATCACTTCCTTGCTATGGTGACCTCCTCTTTTTTGATTCTACACCTTTTTACAAAACATTGCCAATCCACTTTTCAAACTACTTCCATATTAATCTTTCATTAAGAAAACAAACATTTAAAATGTTAATTCAAATTCCTTTCATATCAAAGGAATTGAAAATTTATGTCTACATAAAAAAACCACATACAGGTTTTTAGCCGAATTGCCAGTTCTTGGAAGCAACGAAGATATCCTTCGGTAGGAGAATTGATAAATAAACCCATAAATCCAGGCAGTGGAATATTATTCAGCACTAAAAGAAATGCGCTATCAAGCCGTGAAAGAACATGAAGGAACCCTAAATGCTTATTACTCAGTAAAAGAAGTCAGTGTGAAAAGGCCACACCCTGTATGTTTTCAACTGTGACTCAACTGTGACATTCTGGAAAAAGCAAAACTATGAAGACTAAATAGCTCATTGGTTACTAGGAGTTGGGGTGAAGGGTGGGTATGAACAGCATGGGATTTTTTGGACAGTAGAAGTACCCTGATACTAAAGGGATGCGTGTTATTACACCTTTGTGCAAACCCTATACAAGAGTTATGCCAGCTTTGAGCTTTGGGTGATTATGATATGTTAGTGTACTTTTGTCAACTGTAACAGACTACTCTTGTGGAGGAATGTTAATAAAAGAGGAGACTGCATGTGTGGGGTCAGGGTTATAGGGGAAGCCTACCTTCCTTTAAATTTTGCTGATACTTTCAAAGTGCTGTAAAAAGTTGTAAAGAATAAAAACTCGTATTAGATGTTAAAAAATAATAAAAATTTTATTTAAAAATGTTAAAAAGTTGTTTAATTTTTTAGAGATGAAGGAAAAATTCATTACCTGAGGTTCTGTAATATTTTCAGGTCCTCCCCCATCTACCCTGGCTTCACTTTGTTTCCACTATTGACTGACTCCTGCTGTCATAGTATGCCATGCTCATTCCTATTTATGTGCTGCTTCATTTTTTTGAGTACTTTCTTGTGTGCCCAGATGTTTGTAATACCTAGATGCCTCCACTTGATTTTCAAAACTACCTTATAAAGGTAAGCATTGTTAACATAATTTCACTAATGAGAATTAGAAGGGTTAGGTAACCTGTAAAAGTCACAAATTTAGGAAATGGTGGAATCAAGGTTCAAGCTCAGCTCTTTGATGTCAAATATGTATTAAAAATTTTGTCCAACATTTTATGAATAAGTTTTTAGCATTCTCAGGTGAATTCTCAGAGTTAAGTGTCTTAAAATATATATTGAATAATTAAAAAATTACTGCTTGAGTCAAAAGTATGCTAACATGAAATTAACAATACAAAATGTGGATAAAATTAAATGTGATGGAGATAAATATTTGATGGAGTGGTTAGAGAGGCAGCCCAAAGAAGTAAACACTTGGGTATAGCGTTAGAGGAAGGGTAGGGTTTGCAGAACATTCCAGACATGGGAAAGGGGTTAGTAACCAACAGAAAAGCCTTGGTGTGATTCTAAGGACACAGAGCAGACCTGTTAGGCCAGAATAAGTTCCTGGAGAAGTGAAATGGGAGCTAAAGTTGAAGAGCTAGCAAGAAGGAGACTAGAGGGTCTTGGAAAGGAAGTTTGCTTTGTTTAGTGGTCAATTCAGTCATTTTTTGGAAAAGGGGGAATATGTTCATAACCATCAGTAAGTGTTAGAAGAAACCCAATGTTTACAAGGTAATGCTTTGAGATGATGGTCCCTGACGGGGGAAGTATTTCCTTCTCCATTTTTCCTAAACCCCAAACACCTATTAACATCTGTTTAAGTCCTAATGTGATTTCACTGGGCAGAGGGAGTATTTTCTGAGGCTGTGGTTCATTCTATTTGGTAACAATGTTTATTTCCCTCAATAATTTCTTTGTTCCCAAAAAGCAGGGGCTATGCTGATAATTGTCTTTTTACCAAGCCCAACAAGTGACACTTCCTTTAAAAGAAGCAAGTGCCAAAGTACATGATCTTACAACAAATGTCTTCATTACATAAGCAGTTGTTTTGTATCTAGGACATCTTTTGAGGACAAGTATTCCATTTTACAAAGACAGTCACAGTGCTAAATGAATATTGCATCTGTTCAATGAAAAAGATACCTGAAGATTGATTATTGTTAATACATGCACAGAATTAGTAAACATCTAATATCAAAATAAAGTGTGAAATGCCATTGAGTTGTACACCCATTTTTCTCAAAGTTAACGACATCAAGATGAGAAATGGTAAAACGTATATTGAAGTCAACATTAGGCTTAGGAGTCGAAAGACTGAGTCCCAAATTTTCATTTAACCTGTCAGGTGCAGTTTCTTCATGAGTCCTTAAGAGTAAATGTGATAACGTAGTGCCAGGTAGTGCCAGGCATAGGGCTAGCAAATACTGCTAAATTAGTTTTTTTCTCTTCAACTACATGAGAAAAGAACCCCCCCCCCCCCCCCCCCAGTTAACCTTAGAATTTTATGTTGGGTCAGTGGATCTGGCAACTACAAGGGAGGGATGACAGGAAAAAGAATGGGGTTAAGGAGATTTGAGCAAATCCTTTCATCAATTTCCTGCTTCAATTTCCTTGATCTTAGGCCTAGCTCTCCGCCCAGCCCTCCCACCAACCAACACCTGTCCAGCCTGACTTCCCCGTGTAAAGTCAGCTGTCCCCACTATTTGGCGCTTCACTCGCACATTCGCCCCCTAGACCTGTCCCAGGCCCTTGAACCATCCCTTGCTCCGTCAAACTTCACCTGCAGAAATTAGAGAAGCCCACCACTCCCGCCCGCCCTCTTAGAGGCGGCCTCGCGAGGCCCAGGCTGCCCGACCCGCCCCACCCGCGCCACCGCGGCGCCCCGCCCCGGCCGGGGAGGGTCGGTGCGAGGGGAGGGCCAGGTGAGGCGCGGTCACCCGGGGCCTCTCACTTCCGCCCAGGTGAGGGAGGGCCGACGCCGAGCCCGCCCGCCGGCTCCGGGCTCCCACCCGCGCCACCACCGTACCAGGTAAATCGGGGGTCCCGGCTGTGCGTGCGCGCGCTGCGCTAGTGGGGATCGGTGCCCCGAGGCCCGCTCCGGGCAGCTCCCCCTGCGAGCGGAGTCTGTCTTCCCAGCCCGGGCGCGTTCTCCGCCCGCCGGCTGGGAGGAGGTGGGCACCGGAGGCGGAGGGCGTCGCCAGCGCTGGGCTGCCCGGGGTCTGGGTGACCCCGCCGTGGCCCCGCTCGTCGGTGCAGGGCTCGCCGGAGGCCGCGGAGCCGCTCCGCCCCCGCAGGGCCTTGCTGGTGCTCAAATCTCGGCCCACTTCTGTTCCGTGAGTGACACGGATCGGATTTTGCACCCGGGTCGGTGCTGGCCTTTCGCCCCCAGAGCTGGGCGGAGTCTTTTCTCAACCGCGACGGTGGAAGCAGTGAACAGGTGGTCGCCTGACCTCCGCTGAGGGTTAGGCTTGAACCCGGCCTCATCTCGGAGCCTGGTGGTCCTTTTACCGAGTTCCCAGGCTGGCGCTCAGGCCTTCTAGTCTCACTTTATAGATGTGGTGGACCAGGTGGAAGTTGCCCTTTGGCTAAATTGCTGGATTCCTCTTTTAAGTAAAGCTCAGGAAAGCATTTCCAGATCTCCACCCGCTCCAGGGCGCCCGAGTCCTCCCCGCACACCTAGTGAACTGAATGAACATCCCCCACTCCCAAGCTACCCCACTCCCAAGCTACCCCCCTCCCCGCAGTGTTCACTTTGCGTTTTGTCTTATCGCCAGAGATGGCTCCAAAAACTTTGGGTTCTAATTCGTTGTTTACTGGTTTGGCTCCTCCGTTGAGGCGAGCCTTTCACGGCCTTCTTTAGGTAGGATACGTTTTAGAGTCTGGCCATTGGTAGGTGTGCAGCAAACAAGTCTCAACATTTACAAGAAACCCCAAGCGTGTCCTAATGAAGAAGTCTGGAGACTATAAGAAAAAGAAATCTCAGTTAAACCTAGGGTGATGATACCACATTCCACATTAAGCCTCGCCAGTTCATTTGCACACGTGTTTTTTAAAAGAAGGCTAGGGAGGATTGAGCATAAAAAACAAATCGGTTTACTTTGCAGCATCAGAAAAAGGTGAATTCTTGACTTTAGCTAAAATGAGCTTTCTAGGCCCCTGACGATCTTTATAAGGATTATTACAATTTTTAAATAATTAGAAAATTTATTATTGGATCTGGTAGTTACTTTTTAAGATTTATAAACAGTTCTGAAGCGATTTGCCCTTGCTAATTGAGATCCTACTAACAGTCACAGAAGATGAGCTTGGCATCAGAACAATAGTTTTGCTTAAAGATGGATAGAAGTTGTCTTAAGCCCTCATCTCTGTTTAAAGAAAAATAGCTGAATAAATTCAAGTCACAGATTTATTACTTTTTTGTAACTATAAAGCCTATATACATTCATTTTAGAAAAGTTGGAGAGAATTTTCACAAGACAAACTAAAAGCAAACCTTTTCACCTTCCTTTGCTAATAACAATAAGATCTATTATTTTTCAGTTAGTGTTTGCATATTTACCATAGTGAGCTTACTTTTATAAACTTATGAGACACTGGTTCAGCATTCAATAATCATTGTAATTGCATTACACTTAAAAACATTTAATAATTATCCTCAAACAGCCAAGCAGTTTGAATTTACTTGCCTTGTTAAAGTTTAACAAAAATACATTAGCTTGGGGAAACGAAAATGGGGTTTAATTTGTTAAGACTCTGCTTACCTTGTTAGTGATTTTTTTTTTTTTGACAAACAGACCTATTCCACTTTAATATATTTATTAACTATTTTATAAATGTGGAAACTGAGGTAGGGAGATATAAACAATTGACCTCAAGAACACAGACAGAGCTGGTACCAGGAGTAAACCCTCCAGTTCTCAAAAATCATAGGCTATAGATTTCCTGTATTTTAAGAATATTTTATTCTTGGTTTTCTTATCTCAGTATTTTCAGAATTGGTTGTTGAGTCAACTGGAAAAACTGATAATTGTGATAGATAATTAGTTCTAATCCTGTTTTTGTGTTATTGACTAATAACAAAAATCTAAATGTTCATCTGCAGGAGATTAGGTGAATGAATCATGTATTCCCAAAGCAGAAAACTATCAGTGACAATGAATGAAGAAGAGTTGTGCATATCAAGAACACATCTCTAAAATGTAAAGTGAGCTAAAACAAATTGCTGAAAAATAAATATCCAGATAAATTTAAGTAAAAAATAAATATTGTTGAGTTAACCGGCCAAACAAAAATATTATAAATACTGACTGTGTGTTAAGCATTTCAGATTTTAATTCATTAATATTGATTGCATGCATTCGTGAAGCTGCCTTGTGGTTGAAAAAAGTTAGTAAAATATATTTTCCCTTTTTTGAAATTATAGAAAATTGTCTACATCTACAAAATAGATATGACAGTACATTAAGAAGATAAATAAGATGTTATGCAGAATGAACTTGTTTTGTGTGTAGTGGCACCACAAAAAAAGTAGTTCTGTGATTTAGTGAGAGGTGAAGTGGTTTTGGGGAAAAAAACAAGCGGAATTAGGATGGTAAACATTGGTAGGAACTTTGGCCTATTTCACAAATTTTTAGAGTTGCTTTGAAAATCATAAGCATGCCAAAATATTCTGACCATATTTCTGGAGAGAAGAGCCTACAGTCTGCAGTAGAAGGAGAATTCAACGAATATTTGAAATGGAAGATAATCATTAGTGAAAAGTATGAATGCCTGGATCTTTTCCCTTTTTCTTGGGTCTTGGCTGTAAGACTAGAGATGCAAGTGCATCAAAATTGGATTTGTGTTGCTGTCTACCATTGGAGAAAACTGCTACCAACAGCAATACAAAAGCATAATAACAAACAGTTGAACTTTGTTCATGCACAGAGGCCAAGTTATAGGCAGTCTATTAATATGCATTGCTTAACTTTGAATAGATCAATGAGAAATTAGTATTTAACCAATTAAATTATTCTGAAGAGCTACCTCAATTTTAAGTTCTGATTCTGAGTTTTATATATTGTATTTCAGCTTTGATTTCAACATAGTCCAAATGTTGGCTTCAAGTGGATTTAAAGGCTGTTCATGGCATAGTGTCCTAAAATAGCAGGATCATTCTGGAATTCTATGTCTCCACAATTCCAGGAATAGGTTGTTTCAGTAGCCACCCCTAATAAAGTATTTATTACAGCTAAAACGTTACTGTCATTTGCTTGGGACACAAGGCTAGGTTGGACACCTGTCTAGAATAATCTATATCAGCATGACGACAGATGTGTTTATTTGTAGTCGGACAGAAGGGCCACCCTTACTCTTTGGCTGGGAGACTTTCTTTTCTAATTTAATTAGTACCTCATAAATGCGGGGCTTTGAGGACAAAGGCATGATAATTAGATACAACCTGAGCTATGCACGCCAAAGGAAGCAATAGAAACTTGAAACCATTCGTGGGCTTCAATAACTTCTAAAATCATGACTTCGTTTACAGCTAATGGTTTTTAGATTGTTCAAATTCCCTGCTTCCTTTGAGCTCTGGGGAATTCCCATTAGGCGTTGTATGCAGTCTAATGTGGTCTGCCAGTTTACACCCACCTTTGAGTCTGAATACCTGTATGAACAGATTGCCAGTGAGCTTTTTCCCAAATTATCTATAGAAGTAAGATGTCATGTTAAACCATTTTTTTCAAGATGAAAGTATAAGAAGTTGTAGGGAGTTACATTCTGGTAAACTATCGGGAGTCTGAAAAATTTGTTTCTCAGGGTCCTTAATTTGCCTAAATTCTTGACCTGAGGAGGTTAATAAATCTTTTCAGTAAGTTTCCTTCACTTGGAAATGTAAATCAAATTAAACTTCTATCTCTGCATCAGCTTTTTCAAATATTCCATTAATTAGTGATGGCTAAGGGCATGGGTATAAAAAAAAGCCACAATATTATAATAATTTCCTTCAATCAAATCCTACAGAGAACCAGACATGAAAAATTCATGGTACCAACTCTCTTGATCAATGATGGAGTGAGTGCAAGCTGCTGAGCATAATAAACTCATTCTCTGGAGACCGTTCAACTATGAGGACAGCGGCACACTGTGGTGTTCTGATGTCTAGAATCTGGCTGTTGTCGGTGACCTATACCAAGTTAGACACAACTTTGCCGAGTTTAAACAAACTTGAAATTTCTTGCCTTCCTGTAACCATAAAATGAGTGAGGTTTAGTTTCCATTTAGTCTGCGGCTGTTTGCTGGATATC